AAGTGAAACTTCTGAAGGCAAGGCTTTGCCATAACTTTTCTGAAATTAATACAAAAACAATACAACGGAATTACCCGAGAAAAAATAATTTTGACTAATTATATATAATCATATATTATTGTTTATATGATCAGATCCGAAAATTGGCCAGGTCTGACCATGCATACAAAATCATATAGACGGTCATATCTATTCATATTTGGCCATTAAAATGTAAAAATATAAAATTTATTTTTCTCGTTAAAAATTATTTTATTGCCGAAAATCTTTATTATGTGCAAGCTTAATTAATTAAATTTATATTGTACTTGGAAAATTTGCTGACCACCGCTAGATTTGAACTTGGAACAGTTGGAACCCCTGGATCTTGAGTCAAGTCACCTTACGTACTGTGCTACAACGTTAATTAATAAAGACGTTTCGTATTGTACTACATATGTTACACTTATTGTTAGCAGATGTACGGAAGGTGTCAGACATAGATACTGTATAGTTTTCTAACAATATAATTTAATTCTACAAAAATATAACAAATAATTAGATTAAAAATTATATTTTTCTGTAGTTTTTTCCGTAGTAGTAGATTGTTTTGTGTGCCGCTGATTGATATTGGAACATGTGTTTTACCTGAGTTCATGCACTCGGTTCTTCTTGGGATAGTAAAACAACTTATTAAATTGTGGTTTAATAAAAAAGGTCCTTGGAATATTAAAAAAAAAGAGTAAAAATATTGATAATTTTATCACAAGTATACGACCACTTCAATCATTTTATCGATTATCAAGACCTTTAACATATTATTAATTTTATAATGCATCCAAAAATTACAATTTTTGGTTATTTTATTCTCTTATAGCTCTTATTGATCATTTGCCTAATGAATATTTTCAGCACTGGATGATGTTAGTTATAGCATTGTTTAATTTACTTCAAAATCAAATTACACAGTTTGATCTTAAACAATCAGATATTTTACTTAAATTATTTGTAAAACAATTTGAAAAACTGTACGGTAACAGAGAATTAACGTGTAATACTCATCAACTTATACATTTGACACTATGCGCCGAAAGATGGGGTCCATTATGGTCAGCTTTTCCTTCGAGAATTATAACGGATTTATTGCAAAATGTGTGCATGGTAATAAACATTTGGGTCAAGAAATTGTCAATAATCTAGTTATTGCTCAAGGAGTACTAATTTTGAAAAGTCCGTGCCATTGAACGGGAACGTAATGCTAATAATGTAATGTACAATGGAATATGAGATCACAAAGCTATGAGCTTTTAGGTAAATACATAACAAATATAGAATTCAATAATATTGAACGTCATTTGCTTACATACGAAGGTTTTGATATATATATCATATAGTCATACATGAATTCATATACAGTCAGGTATGAGTCAGACTTGATTAGGTCTAATCATATATGAATCTGTACCTACTCATACGAATTAGGGTATATTAGTCATATCAGCATAGAAATGGTCAGATCTAAATACGTACAATTATATATGGATATATATCCAGTTATATATAACATATAGTCAGGTGCGAGTTCATATTAGCCAGTCATGATTAAATAGAATCATACATAGATTTAAATATAGTCATATATGAATTCATATACAGTCTGGTATGAGTCAGGCTTGATTAGGTCTAATCATATATGAATCTGTACCTACTCATACGAATTAGAATATATTAGTCATATCAGCATGGGAATGGTCAGATCTAATCATATAGGTATGGATCCATATGTAATCATACAAGGAGCAAGATGTAAATATACATGATCATAAATATACTCATATATATTCATTTATGATTCTATACATAATCATATACAATTATATATGATTAGTCAAAATTATTTTTTCTCGGGTAGTCACTCCAAGCCGCCTGCAACTCGAAAATATAGTGTTACACGTAGTTCTCACTATATCCGTCTCGCCAGTGCCGCATGCCTGATCGAATGTTCGTGACGCGTTTTTGAGTCGCAAAATCGAATTTACTTACCGATCCAAAAGGAGTTTCACTTTGTACGCTTGTTGGTCAAATTTTTGTGACACTATTTCGTGTCGCACAATCGAATTTACTACCGTGCCAAAGAAATTTCATTTTGTACGTCTATTGGTCAAATTTTCGTTACACTTTTCGTGTCGTGAAATTCGTGTCGCATAATCAAACTTACTACCGTGCCAGGGCAGAAGAAGGACCGTCTCGCCAACGCCGTACGCCTATTGGTCAAATTTTCGTTACACTTTTCGTGTCGCTTTTCCGTGTCGCATAATCAAACTTACTACCGTGCCAGGCCAGAAGAAGAACCGTCTCGCCAACGCCGTACGCCTATTGGTCAAATTTTTGTTACACTTTTCGCGAATCGAACTCATTATCGTGCCTAAAAAAGTTTCACTTCAAAAATGGCGATCGAGGACTTTCATGTAATCTTAAAAAATCGATTTTTTTGAAAATTTGTTTTATCATTATTTATCCTTCTTGATATCCTATAACTTTTGTTTAATATATATGTTTTTTCATCTATATGGATAAAACAAATGTCCGGACTGACTGACTGACTCATTGATGCCCAACCCCTAAACATAGAAACATGAAATTCGGGGAGTATATTTCTTCCACGACGAAAGCACATTAAAAAGGGATTTTTAGAAATTTGACTCCCAAGAGGGTGAAAAGAAGTAAAAAGTGTTTTTACGGATTCTGCTTGATGAGAGGCCTGAGAGCCTGATGAGATATTGACTTGGTTTTTGCTTACAAAGATTACCCATACAAATGTTGAAAACGTAATTCAGGATTCTAAATACCGTAGCGAAACACTGGTATCAAGCTAGTCTTCCATATTTTTCGATATTTGTCTAAAGTAATTAAAATGGGATTCCTTGTATATATGTAATTATATATTTTTCGTAATTATTTTTATACCATATAAGAGAAATGTTATATCCTGTGAACTCTACTATTTTTCTTTCCAATTTTCCTATCACTATTTCCTATTTTTTTTTTTATATTTGTTTACGTGACTAAACAAGATCGAGAAATCAAGAGGAAACTTCCACAAACAAACAAGACATATGCGATTGCGTTTTTATAAACTTTGTTTGATCTACGACTATAAACCTGGCTATATGGCGCTGTAACCGTTATAAGCACATAACGGAAATTTCTATTTGTTTGAACCGACAATAAAGATATAAGACTATGCGTTGTCTGTTAATACAAAAACAAAGTCGCGAGATAAACCAGACCCAGAACTCTATAAATAAAAAGAAATCGGCGATAATAAAAAAATGGATGAGTCACTGGAAGATAGCTTGAATCCCCAAAGTAGGACGGTGGAGGCCTTACGACGAGACTCGCCAATGGATAGACGAAAACTCAAATCCCGGGTGAAAAACACACAGAACAAAAAGCTGAGATTTAAAACCTTTATTAGACATCCATGTAACTTCTCATGGATGTCTACTGGACATCCATAGTTCCGCATTACCTCCATTTAATCTGTATTAGACGTATTGATAGATATATATTTTAGACGTCATATAGATCAATCATAGATGTTTCATGGAGCTTCGATAGATAATCAAAATATGTTAACTAAACTTTTTATAGATTCTTTACGAATATGCGCCTTGTTTACCCTTATGGCAAAATACATTCAACTTTTGGTGTTAACCGTAAAAAAGAACACCAAAAAAACCCTTAACCCTCAGGGTACGGACTGGGTTAGCGTAACCTGAGCAAATTTTTAAAGTAGCGCCATTTTAAAGGAAGTGAATGAGGGGGGTCCGTACCGGATGGGGAAAAATCTTTGAGGTAGCTACTATGTGAGCGCCAAGGGGCAGCGTCAGTCTACGCTTGGTGCTCAAGTTATACGATTTTGAAAATTAAACTCGGGTAGTCTACACCCAGTCCGTACGAAACGTTATAAAATCCGTGTTTTTCAAACAAAAAAAATTTGTGTTTTTCGAGTATTTGCTGCAGCAGAGTATTCTCTGGTATGTATAATTTACTATTTTTAACATACTTTTGTGCATTCTAACCTTTTTTTTTTTTTTTTACGCTGGAGAAATCTTTTACCACCGGGTCCGGCGGAAAAAGCCGGACAACCAGTCACGACGCCCGATCAGGGAGCGCCCGCAGCAACCAGTCGCGGACCCTAAGGTCCGGTCAGGGATGTTACGCAGCGGGCAACCAGTCACGAGCGCCGATCGGGGATTCACGTCCCGCCCCCGCGGAAACTCGGTGACCCCCCTTTCGGGGGGAAGACCCCCCACCCCCGGGGTGGGGCGGGGGAGTGCCGGATTCTACGGCCGCGCCCGTTCGATAAAGCGTGCGCGGCCATAGCCTACCGACTAAAACTCCAGCGAGTCGACCCTCCTTCGCGCTATATGGGGGAGCCCTGGGAAACGCAATGATTACAGCCGCAAGCTCCCCCACGCGTTCGCTTCTAGCGAGAAATCTAACTTGTGGCGGTTGAGTGGTCGCTGCACTGGACCGTCACCCCTCCCTCCGGGGTTGCCATTACCGAGGCAATGGCAGCGGACGAGAGACGACCCCGGTCTCTCGCCCGCCCCCCGGGCGAGAAGAGGAGGAGAGCGGCGTGCCGCGTCTCCTCTCCCCCCTCGCGCCCCTCTAGGGGGTAAGCGGGCGCCGCCCCACGGTTGACGAGACCCGTCGGGGCCCCGCCACCGCGAGTCCGGCACCCTGCCTTCGCGGACCGAGAGGAGCGCCCGTGGCGGAAACTCCGTGGAGAATCCGCCCGAGCCCCCCCACGCTCCCTCCACCGACTTCTCGGCGCCGGCAACTTTGGGAGGGGGGAGTGCCTCCACCTCCGTAGAGGTTTCGGAGACACGCCCCCTCCCACCCGACACCCACTCCCACTTTTTTCTAACGCGCCGCTTGACGGCGCCGGGGCTAATTGCCCCGTTGTTGTTCTCCTGTCGAAGGGTGACGGATCTTTTCTACGATCCGCCCCCTCAATCACTGTCCGATTGAGGAGGGGCGGCTTCTCCCCTCCTCACCCGCTCATCCGCCTCCTTCTTTCGCAAGACCGCGCTAGCAAAGAAGGTGAAAGCTCTCCAATTATCTCTCCCTTCCTCTCCCGGCCTGACCAATTTGGCCACGACTGCCGGGAGGGAGAGATGCCCTCCTAACTGTGCCCGGAGGGCACGGCGCTCTTTTGTCCATTCCGGACAGATCTCCAGAGTATGTTGCGCCGTGTCCGCTCCCTCCGGGCAATACCAGCAGCACGTGGTGCGCTCCTTCCCAATACTGTGCAGATATTTGCCGAAGCAACCGTGCCCCGACAGGATCTGCACAGCGTGGAAAGTCAAGTCGTGTGACTTGACACCTTCCACCCACTCCTCGAATACTGGCCGGACAGCCTCGGCGACTCTCCTTCCGTGCTTGTGCTTGTGGCGGGGGTCCGCCACCCAATCCTTCCATCTGACCCTCAATGCCGCCGTGGCTTGGGCTCTCAGCGCCACCCTCATTTGCGGGGTAATTACCCCCACCCTGCCGCGGATCACGTGTACGCTATCATACACTTCCGCGTACGATCGCGCGAGCAGGTGGACTGGGGGAATACCCGCGAGAATGGTCGCCCCCACGTGGGCGACGGTCCTGTATGCCCTCGCCACCCTGAGGGCGATCACGCGTTGCGCGCGTTCCAACTTGGCCCTCAGAGTGCGCGAGCTCTCCGCCTTGGCTCACTACACGGGCGCGGCGTACATAAGGATGGAATGGACCGTCGCCGTGTAGAAGCAACGCACTCGACCTCCAGCCCCCTCCCCCGAGGTTTGGCAGTAGCCTGGACAGGTTGTTTGCGACCTGCCCGGCCCTCGGGGCTACGCTGTCGACGTGCGCGCCAAAGTCCCTTTCCGTATCCAGCCACATACCCAGATATTTCATCTGAGGAGTGGTCGGGATCTTCGCTTCTCCCACGCAGAGGCTGAGTCCCGCAGGCGGTGGCCCCTGTTTTATCGGCCCCTTCCTATCGTAGAAGAGGGTCGTCTGCGTTTTCTGTGGGGCTACCTTGAAACCCAGCCTCTCTATGGAGCGCACCACGCTCGCTGCTGCCACATTTGCCAGCCTGAATAGCTCCCGCCATCCCCTCCCGCTGATTCCCAGGTATATGTCGTCTGCATATTTCGAGAGCCAGCATCCTGTGGGGAGGGGTGTCCCGAGGACCAGGTTGTACGCGATGATCCACAGCAGAGGTCCTAAAACTGACCCCTGCGGGACCCCGCACTCCATTAACCTGACTCTCAGGACTCCGTCCCGGTCCGTGTACGTCAGTCCCCTCTCAACGAAGTAGTCCCTGACGACCATCACTAGGTACAAGGGGACCCCGAAATCTAACAGGGCCCCCATTATAACCGACCAAGGGAGGGAGTTGAAGGCGTTCCTAACATCGTAGCCTATACCCATGACAACTCCCCCCCCCGGCTATCTCGGCCTCCGTCCGGGCGAGGACGCGCTTGATTGCGTCCATCGTCGATCTCCCGGCACGGAAGCCGAATTGGTCGTCAGAAAGACCTCTCCCCTCCTTTTGGGATAAGTGCTGGACGAGGCGTTCCGCGATGACTCGCTCCAGAATCTTCCCCACCTCGTCCAGCAGGCACACGAGCCGGTAGGAAGAGGGCATGTCCGGTGGTTTTCCCTCCTTCGGCAGGAGCACCAGGCTGGCCTCCTTCCATTTTTTGGGGAAATGACCGGTCTTCAGGCATGCGGTGAACACCTTTCGCATCCTGCCGATCATTTCCCCTGCGGCCAAGGGCCATGCTCGCCCGGGGATTCCGTCGGGACCGGGGGCTTTGCCCCTTTTTACCCGCTTGAGCGCCCTCGATAGCTCCTCCTCTGTGACCCCCTATTCTTCCCTCCATTCCGGCTCCGCTGCCGGGATGCCTATTTCTCCCCCGTTGCATCGGGGGAAGAGGGTGTCGACGACCTTCTCGACGAATGGGGATCAAGCGTCTCCGTTAGTGGGGGCGCCCAGGGTCTAAGCTTGGTTTGTACCAACTTGTACGGGCGCCCCCACGGATTCTCGTCCACGCCATCGAGGAGCTCGTCCCAGTCGAGCCCCTTGGCCTTGTGGATGGCTTTGGAGAGGTTCTGGCGGGCGGCTCGCCAGGCCTCTCCTGCCTCCTCTTCTGTCGGGCCGTTTCTGCCTTGACGGGCCTTCTGCCACGTCCTTCTGGCCCTTACCGAGGAGCGCCTTAAGGTGGTCAGCTCCTCGTTCCACCAATACACGCCTTTTCCAGGGGGGAGCGGATGGAGCCGGGGCATGGCCGCGTCGCATACTTTGACCATTGTGTCGACGAGCCTCCCGGCCTTCCGATCCACCCCCTCCCTTTCTATGGCTTCCTCTCCTTCCTTGCCCCAATTAAGGGCCAGGGCCGCTGCGACAAACTTGTCCGCGTCCATCTTTTTTATGGTCCATCTCCGTCTGGACCTCGCAGCTCTGCGACGGCGGGATAGCACCTCTGGGGGGACGACCCGGATTGACTACTCGATATATCGGTGGTCCGATAAGGTCTCCAGGTTCGTCATTACCCCCCAGTTGCGAATGTCACGGGCCACAGGGGGGGTGGCCCAAGTTAGGTCCACCACTGAAGAACCCCGTAGCCGCTCGCAGGTGCTTTCTCGACCCGAGTTAATCAGGCTCAGGCCGAGTCCCGCCGCCCAGGCCTCGGTGACGGGGCCCCTCCAGTTCGCTGGCGGAGGACAATTCCACAACGCGGATCTCGCGTTAAAGTCCCCCGCCACGATCACCCGCTCCGACGAACAGCCGCGAACGCAATCCTCCAACTCTGCCAACAGCTGCTCGTATTGGGGGCGGGTCCAGCTGGGAGGGGCATACACCGCCACCACAGAGATGGGCCCGCAGTCGACCGCGACATAACCCGTGCCGACCTTTCTCGTCGTGCACGATGGCAATGTCTCCGTCGCCCTCCATGTTATCACGACGGAGCCCCCGCGATCCCTCACCTAGATTCCTCGGGGGACGCAGTAAGGCTCCGCCGCGATTCCCAAGCCACACCCGCACTCTGCCAGGGTCTGGCAAAAGAGATCCTGGACTGCGCGGGCGTGGTTCAAATTAGACTGCAGGATCCGGAGGGACATAACCAATGTATCCTGGTCCTAAGTCCTACGATCCTTCCTTTACGCTGGCGGTCTCTGCCTGCGGGGAGGTATCTCCCGTTCCCTCTTGATCCACCTTCGCCATTTCCGCGATTTCTTCCTTGTCCGTTATCTTGAGTGGATCTGGCGAAAGGGTTTCCGCTTCCTCCTGCAAGTCCATAGGCACCGTGGTGTCTGTTGGCTTATCCAGGGCCTTATCTCCCTTTTGCTTCCTCTTCGGGAGCCTTTGTTCTTTTGGTGGCTCCTCTTGAGTCACCACCCCGATTATCCTGAGAGCATCAGACTTGACGAGTATCTTTGTGCCTTCCGGTTTTCTCTTTTGAAGCCTTTTATCCTTGGGAGGGTTCTGTGTGATCACCTCTCCGGCTATCAATTTGTTTCCGTCTCTAACCTCGAAGTTCCTAACCTCAAGGTTTGACGTTACTTTGGGCTTCTTCCCACTACTCTTGTTTTTCGTCGGTTCCTCTTCCTTCTTTCCTGCCTCTTCTGTCTTTCCCCTCTTTTCCGGCTTGCATCCCTTGCAGGTGGGTTCCCCAACGCGGTGATCGTGAGGGAGCCGTTTATCCTTGCACACGGTGCATCGCACGGGAGCCCGACACTCTCTGGCCGGGTAACCGAGTTCCCCGCACCTGTAACAGGCCCCGGTTCGATCTTTTTCGCTGCTGCATTGAGCGCGCGTGTGTCCCACCTCCATGCATTTATAGCATTGAAGTGGCCGTTTGTCTAGTAACTCCACTTTCGTGGGCGACCACCCCAGTGCTATTTTTCCCTCCTTCACAAGGCTGTTGGCCACTGCCAACGGACAGTTCACCACTGCGGAACACAGTCCGTTGGTCATTTTCCTTATGGGTCCAACCTTGAAGTTGATGAGGCCGGTATTTCCTTTCCTCGCCAAGGCCTCACCAATCTCCTCTTTACTCATTGATTCCTCAAATCCGACAAGTCTTATGTCAGCCGTTATTATCGGTCGGCTCACTCTCACTCCCTCTCTGTCGGCTAGTATCTCACTTATTTTACCGGCAAGGGCATCAGCTTTTCCGGCGTTGCCTTGCCGCGCTATCTCAAGGCTCATTGCCTCGGTGGCGGTACGCCTGACATTTGAGAGCTTTGTTATTCCCAGACTCTCCAGTTGTATCTTCCTCCTAACCTCTCCCATGCACTCCGCGTACTCCCCTTCGGGGCAGTTCAAGGTGACTGCTGCTGTGCGCGGTACTCTCCTTTTCTTTCCTTTCTGTGAGAGTGCAGGGGGCGGTTGTGTGTTTTTGCCCCCTGGCTTTCCCCCCTGTCCCGTCTTTTTCTCGGCATCCTTCTTTTCGGTATTCCTATCCGTTGATTTTCGTGATTGGGCCCGGGTCTGGAGTTTGGCCTGTGTTGGCTTCCCTCCGCTTTTTCTGCCTCTGGTTTTCACCTGGGTCCATTCCTCCTGTTTCGATGGCCCAGCGGTGGCGACCTGTGTTGTCTCGTTTCTTGTCCGTGAATGCACATCCCCCGCTTTCTTTATGGGAGCGGGGGCGGGCGATGACGTGGGCTCGGAAGTCGCTTTCTGTCCTAGTACCTGCGACCAGGGGTCTCTGCTCCCGGTCGATGTGGGATTGGACGGCGCTGGGTCCCCTTTCCGTCCTGGTACCTGCGACCGGTGACCTTTGCTCTCGGTCGATGTGGGATCGGACGGTGCGGGATCCTCCTCTCGTCCTAGTACCTGCAATCGGGGGCCTTTGCCCCCGGTCGATGTGGGATTAGACGTTATCTTCCCCTTTACACCCTTTTCCTTTCCTGCTGCTTTCCTATTTGTCGCGGCGGGTGTCTCCTTCCTGTCGGGGGGGGGGGAGATCCTCTGATCTTTGTTTTCCTCCTTCTTTGGGATCAGTTGGATCAGATCTGCTCGTAGCTTCTCTTCCATTTTTTCCACTGTTTCCCTCACGCAGGTGACCAGCATAGTTGCCAGTCTACTCTCCATGCCGGGCGCGTTGTTCGCCTTCACATGGGGGGTTGGCTCCGCTGGTGCTACAGGTGGCCTCGCAGAGTTTATGATCGCCTGTTTCCCCTGTATGGAAGGTCTCTTGACCTCTGGCATTCCCTCCCTTCGTATTTTCTCCAAGATCCTATTCCTCGAGTTCTTGGTCGTTCCCTCTTTTTCCGCCACGGGCTCCACTTCCATCTCCATTTCCATCTTCTCGTTGTATCCCGTGCGTTCCTCCTTCTCTCTCTCATAAGCATCTTCCTCGGAAAATAATAACGATTGAGTCAGGGGTAAAAGTTGTTTCCTTTTGCCACCTCTCTCTCTTATGTGCGCCGCTCGTATCTTCATGTCCCTCTCTGCTTTCAGTACTGGGACTTGTTCCTGCAGTTCTTGCAGCTGTCGTTGCATCTGCAAGTTTTGGACTTTGACCTGATTAAGGGTCAACAGATCTTCCTCCTGGGCCGCTAGCTTTTCGCGAAGCAGTTCCATCTCGGCGTCTCTTTCCCGTCCGGTAACGGGGTGCTCGTATCTTTCTACGAGCAGAGTCAGGGCCGCCCTGGTTTTGATTGTGCCCGCAGATTTATTGAGTCTGCCCTTGTGCTCTCCTTTTATCGTGTTGGCCTTTTCCAGCACCAAGTCAACGCCGTTGACTGCCTCCATTATCACTACCGGCAAGATTTCCGCCGGAGCGTCTATCAGCTCTTGCATAGCCAGCTTCTCCTCAATCCGCCTATTATGGGAGAGGGTCGCCGAGACTGTTGCATCCCTCAGGATTTTTATCTCCTGAGCCATTTCGGTCAACTCCTTGCACGCCTTCTGGAGCTGTTTTAGGTAATAGCTCCCAGTTTCTGCTGGGCGGCCTCGTCCTCCTTCTTTTCTGGCGACGACAGGGATGGGCAATCGTCCTTCACGCCCAGCTGTTTTATTGTAGCCTCCGTTTCCGCCATCATATTCCTGAATTGACCCAGCTCTTCCTTTTCCACACGCGTGGGTCTTTCCTTTTTCTTATTCACTATGATGACGTCTGTCTCGTCCTCGGGCTCGGTTTCGGTTACCTCCGAATCCCGATCCGTATCCCTCTTCGATCGTGGATGCGAACGTGTGTGGGACCCTTCCTCAGAGTCAGAGCTTGGAATGTTTCTGCCTCTGTGTTTCTTGCCATCAAGACTGGTCGCTCTTTTTGATCCGTCCTTCTTTCCGGGGGCGTCATTTCCCTTTCTTTGGGCTTGTTTCCCTTTTCCCTTACTAGGGGCTTTGATAGTACCACTCCTTGTGGTCACGCCCTCCTTAAGTGCATTCTAACCTCAAAGTGATGCTCTGTAGCATACCAGCATAACGTATCCGTGCATGCAATTTTTGTTATTTATTTATATTATACTAATCAACAACATCCAAAAAAACTATTTTTACTTTAAAATATTTTTTTGCGTTATTACGATAAATCAAGCAAGTAACGTTATATCGCTATCGCAAAAAACGGGTTATTTCATAGTTAAAAAAAAAATACTTTTTGAAATGGATCAAAAAACGAATTCAGCCATTTCAAAGAACAATTTTTTAGCTTTCAAATGCGACTTAAAAAATGTCGATATCTTTTTTTTCATAAAGTTATGCAATTTAAAAGAAAAAATAAATTTTTATGAAAATTGTTTGAGAATGGTTTACATTTTCAAATGTATCTTTGTTTAAACAAATAATGTAATAAATCTATCAACGCCATTGTATTTTTGAGAAAATTTCTGATCCAAAAAAAAAAATTTGTTTCAATTGATAAATTACAGCTCGATATATACAGTCAATCAAAGTTGCCGGGTTAGGCTAACCCATGTCCGTACGGAACGTAACTTTTTTATAGTCCGTACCCTGAGGGTTAAAGTTGAGTGTGATTTCGGACCGCCAATAGAAGGTTAACCTTCAAATAATGGTTAATCCTTCAATTAATGGTTAATTTAATCCTTAAAAATGACGGTATAAACCCTAAAAATCCTTAAATGAAAGTAATACTCAAAAAGAGTGTAAACCCCATATTTGAATGTTCTCAATTTGCTTTCAATAATATCCCAGACAGCACAAAATATTTTTAAAATATTTTTGAAATATTTATAAGAAAGATTAAAATATTTTTAAAATATTCATTAAAAAAATTAAAATATTTTAAAAATATTTTGTAAATATTTTAAAGGAATCCTATAGTGGCAGTAATTACCGACATTTTTTTATTGGAAGATACACATCTCACGCACGCACGCACGCACGCACGCAATTAAAAATCATGTATAAGCCCGGGAAAAAAGAATTAGATCTACCGAGATATGATCAGATCGGGTTCATCAGATCTGGCTAGATATAATTTGATGCAAATTGTCTCATCTGGCCAGATCTGAACAGATATAACCAGATCTGACCAGATATAATTTGATCTGCCAAAATATAATTATTTACCGAATGTATTCAGATCTGTTCAGATATAATTGAAAATTATATCTGGGATGTAAAATGCTATAAAACCATAAATATATCCAATTCAAAATTGTGTGCCACTTTATTATAATCGTGGACTCCGATACACCTGATATAAGTTGTACCGTACACTTGATTTATATACCGTTCTTATAACATCGATTGTCATATTTTAAATACGAGAAACGAATCTCATCGAATGCCATCTATCGGATGATCCGACATTTGCATGTATAACCAGTAAATAATTTTTATTAATTAAAGTAAAAAATGTAAAGTCTCTAATCCCACACAGAACTTAATATTTAATAGATATATCTATTAAATATCCCCAATGTATATCCATGATATCCACGAGATCTAATAGATATCCATTAAATATCCATGGGGATATTCATTAAATATCCAGTGGGGATATCAAATGATGGTTAACCTTCAATTGGTGGTCCAAAATCACACTCAACTTTAAGAATTTTTCTTTGGATGATGGTTAACCTTCAAGTGATAGTTAACTTTTAAATAATGGTTAATCCTTAAAAATGACGGTATAAATCCTAAAAATATGAACCCTCAAATGAAAGTAACACCCTGTTCGCGAAATCGCTGATTAATCCCGGCGATGAAAGCGGGATGAGAAGGACGCGCGTGGAAGGTGTTAACTAAATATGCACTTTATTTTGTGTAACTCAGACCACAGTCTGAGCCGTCTTTAATATATTGAAATTGTTACAATCTGACCTGAGAATCGATGAGCGGTGTATAAATGAGACGTCTGTGTATGATCGTTGAAGACGAGCGACAATTATATGAATTGCCCTTCTTGTGTGGTGAGTCGCCCGTGAGCCGGTGAGACACGTGGCGGTCGGCACTCGCGAACGTGTGAGCTTGAGTCGTCGTGTTGAGGCACCAGAGTTGATGAGCGGTCTCTTTCACAGTTTAAATGAGAGTCTAAGCAGCGTGGGCACTGCGATGTGCACGATTAACCGAAGTCACTTGTCGAAACGTACAGAGCACACGTAATACGACTTGTCACCGCGCGGCCAATAGCACAATTGAATTCGATCGCGAGGAAGACGTTGGCGATGAGCGCGCCCATGCGGGCGCAAGCTGCCGCGGTGATCGAGCGTCGTTACCCGATCGATGCTGCCATCTGATCGGACGGCGCAGCGTTAACTTAATCTCGAACACACCCAAAAAAAATAAACCCTATATTTAAATGTTCTCAATTTACTTCCGCCGATAATGCATACCCGCGAAAGAGAACATCACCACACACTATGCATATATATATATATATATATATATATATACAATATATATATATATACATTGTCACGACTTTTTTGCACTCCCGGACCGCTCCGGGACGTGTGCCGGATCAAAAGGGGCTTAGGAGAGCGGGATGGTAGGCCTCTCCAGTGATTTCCTCGCACCTCCGATACCCCACGAAATATTCCGAATGTTGGGCGCCAGACGCGTACGTTCGCGTCCACAAAATCGCGAAAACCTAAACGAGACGCAAAACGAAGTGTGGAGGTGCGTGGAATCGGCTAGCTTGACCTAATCACGGGCGGGGTTAATGAAGGGCAGCGCTATATTCGGCGGGGTGACACGTTAATTTCATACTCAGTCAGATAACAAAGAAAATAACATTTATTGAGTACTGGTTGTCAAGAAAATAATAACATTTATCCATCCGACTTCGATCAAACACAAGATAACTTCGATAAATAAATCCGGAATAGCCGGGGGCGGGGTGTCGGGATTCATCTAACAGAAATAATATTAATGCGGACGCGAGACACCCACGGAGTATTAATTGAGTCTCTAATAAACACGCTGAAGGCGATATTCTCAAACAATTAATAATTCGAGTCGAAAGTGATAATACGCAAGAATACTACTCTTAATATCGCTAATAACCACGAAACGCCAGGAAGACCTACGCAAGTAACATCTAAACGCACGAAGCGAGTGATCGCCGGTAATTTCTTAACGCGAATACAAGTCTAACATAATTAATCCATCGGCGGGAACGACATTCGACCGCGATTAACAATGCCATCGACCTCCCAACGCAAAATTCGAGTTTGTCGCGAGCAGGGACGCCATAGGACGCAACGCAAGTAATACCGGACGCAAAGTTTCTCAACGCGAGAGCAAACCTTACGCGATCAACCCGTAATAACGAGATCCGAACACAAATCGATACGCTAACACCGACGCTCGAACACCAGAATTTCCCGACGCGAAGAAACGGTAACGCAATTTACGAAGTACCGGCCCGTATGCGGCCGTACTCCAAGGTCGCGAGGACAACGCAATATACTCGCGATATCGAACTCATTAACGCCGATCGCGACTTCCAGGGATTCGCCATAACGCTTGTACCACGGTTCCGCAGCCGCGATACCATCCCGAGGCCCTTTGCTCTCGTTATCGATCGCAAAATTACACTCGATCTTAACATGCGTTATCCCGAGCGAGAGCGTGCACCGGAGGGCGGTATCGTGGCTTTACATATCGTGATTTACGGGCAACCTCACCGGTGATACACCTCCTCCTGGGCTCCTCGCCGTCATCTTCTACCAACGATCCTCGATCCGCCAGACAAATATCGAAATACCCGACTCGGGGTGGCTATCGCGTATCTTAACAAAACGTATCTCGCCGACGGACGACCAGAGAGTGAAACGCTAGACCCGCTCGATTGCGGAATCGATACGGTACCCCTTCCTGAAGGGCGCGCGAGCCAATCGGGCGCGAGCTTGCAAGCCCGCGGTGTCCCGGCGCAGTGCTGTCGATACGAGATCCTTCGGGGGCGGGCAACGGTCCTTCGGCGGCGTACAACTCCTCAAATTTTGTCCTTAGCGGCGGACGGAACTTCGCTCGTGCCGGTGTGCCTCCGGTTTGACCCTGGGGCGGTGGCCAGCCACCCCGTGGGTCGGTGTTTTGTGGAGATCATTTGCTGAAGCCGGGTTTTTACCCAAGCGTCTGGGGCCCCGCTATTGGCGGCCTCGTCTGTCGCTGCCTTACGTGCCGCACGCCTGTCGCGCCGCTCTCGCCAGCCCGTGATCTCTGCTGCTTCCGTGTTTGCCACCCCTCCTCGGTTATCAATCGTCCTTGATTTCCTTCGCCGATTACTCCCTCGAAGGTTTGCCGTGGTGTGGGTGAGGTGCCGCGCGTATTACATTGCATAAAAACAAAAGAAAGTAATCAGAATGCGGAAACGCGATTAAATACGACCCCTGGAGATCTCGCCGTTACCTCCCTGGTTCGTCCCTGGGCGCGAAATTCCGCGTCTTGTGACGGCGGCGGGGCGCCGCGACGAT